TCCGCCAACACATGCCCTTCCGGATCTTCCATCAGACAAGGTGTCATCCGCCCTCGCTGGAAACACAAATCGCCGACAGTCAACCCAGAACTACAAGCAGCTTAAGATAGAGACAAAGCGACTTGCGATGCCGGAAACAAGTAGCAACAGTGAAACTCCCCAGGCCAATGCAGTCTCAACTGATAAAGGCGATATACAAACCGTGGAGTTAGCACGGCCCACCACTGCCTCTCGACAACCGCCCTCGGCCGAAATCAGCCCAACTGACCCAAGGTCGTTTGGGTCTCCCCTTGATAATCGACCTGATGGCGAGGAAAGCTCAACTGGGCGCTCTGGCTCCCCCACGTCAGGTAAACTTAAGAAGAACTTTTCTTCCTCAAGCTTGCGAAGCCTGAAGGCTCGTAACCTATCCGTGTCGAATCTAGACGAAAGCGAAATATCTCCTGGGGCAGCTATAGGCACACACTGGGGAATCAACTCACGTGCACCGACCATGCCCGTTATGCCAACACCGTTGGCGGCCACATTACGTGATAGAGCGGAAACCGCGGTTGGGGGTCTATTCCTCCTCGAACATCATTTCCACAGCCCTGACAGCCCCGGATCGCCCAACCCGACGGTCTCGGAAGCACCTGTACCGCTGGAGCCGTGCCCAACGGACTTCATGCTGAGACCATTCTGGCTGATGCGATGCCTGTACCAAACCTTGGTGCATCCACGCGGTGGATATCTCAGTCTTAAGTTATTTGTTCCAAGAGAGGCGTGGCGGGTAAAGGGTGTAAAGCTTAAAAACATCGAAGACAAGATTGCAAACTGCGACTTCCTCACGGCAGCTTTATTAAAACTGGCCAAAGTCGACACTTTTGACGCCGACGCCCTACTCGAGGAAATGCAGGCTTTGGAGAATATATTAGAGCAAATCCAGGCCGCTCTGACTCGCAAACTTGGAAATGAAGTAGGCATCCACAGTACCGGTTCTCTGTTCAAGGATGGTCTGAGTGGCACAGACGGAGATTCAGGAGCAGTGTTACCACGATCGTCCAGCGTTTCAGGGAAATCATCCTTTTCATGGCGACGTCTCCGGCCGAAGAACTCTTCATCAGCCCTGGCAACCTCGCACCACCCCATCCGCAATGCAGGTAATGAGGGTAATAAGGACTCGATCCCGACTTTGCCAATGACAGCACAGCCTACCAGTCGACCAGCCAGGCGAGACACGGGCACAGCGCAATTTTCCGGGCCTTACGCACAGTATATGGGCTCTCTTGCTCGGTTATTTGATGCTGTGCAGGTGATAGGTACGTTTTGGGATGTGGTTCAGCCTTTGCACAGTACGTGAAAACTGATATTAGAATGACAGACCAGATTGCGCGACAAGTAGAGGACCCTGGGCTTCGACATGCTGATAAAACCCAGGTCGGTTTAGAGTTGAGTGCACGACATGCTGCCGAATTCTTCGCATTTTATATTTGCCGTTTTGTGTTGAGCGATTTGGGCTTGTTAATGGACAAGTTTATCAAGCGTGGAACTGAATGGGTTCTTGCATAATCATAGCGAATCATTAAAGGAAGCGGCTTTCATGATGAGGATAGCGATAGTGGTTCTCATTGTGTTTTTTGTAGGATATGGGAGCCCCGACATTACCATCACAGCTGGGGAGCAAATGGTATCAGATACGAGGATTTGGATAGGATCAAACCGAAATGACAGCGACGAACACATGCATCGGTATGAAGGAAAGTTTATGATATGGGGGAGGGACATTTAACAAGCAAGCCTTACGACCATTGTCTTTTGTGCAACTAATTGCGATCAAGAAAGATACGGTAGATACCCAACGGGCGTTTATGATCATGGGGGAGTTTATTTTATATAGTCAACCACCAATAAATAGCTTGCTCTTTATATTAATTGATCTACTCATGATTTATTTTAATAAGTTTGGTTTTGCATTGGTTATTTATGGCCAGGCGAACTAAGATCACATCCAGTCTCAACTTCAGGTACCTTATACAAGAGAGCGGCTCAAGGCAGAGTCGATTTGTAAGAGTCAAATGAGCGGACTGAGGCACAAGAACTAAGAGATATCCATCAACGCGATTGCATTCAATAATCAATAGTCTTGACGCAAATTTTTGGGTGTAGAATATTTGGCGCGTTGAGTTTTGGCCTGGTTTGTTGTTCGCGTGGCGACCGGTTGATATAATATGTCGGAGGGCTTCAATTGCAGCAAACTCTTCTACCGGGCCTATCCGCCACACACCCGCAGGCCGCCCCCGAGCAATTCAACCTACCTCTCGCCTCTCGACTTCCTCGACAGCAATTGGGTCAGGATTCTCTTCTCATAGCATATTTGACCAATGTCCACCACACCTTGCGTACCTCGATGAGTGTGGCGTGGACAAGTGCTGCTCGAGCCTGGACTCGCTGGACGATTACGACCTCGAGCTCGACCTCGACCTTGACCTCGACCCCGATCATATCAAGATGGCTCGCCAGACAAACTCTCCTCCCCAAGAGCAATAGGATTGGGCGCAGCGGCCCATTGAGGGGGAGTTCCTATGCAGGGCCGCTGTTGCCCCCCCTGCGCCGTCATTTTGCTTCCAAGTCGAACGCGAGCGAGCTCGAGCGTCGCATTGCCGCAATCCCCATTGAGCGCTACCGCAATTTTTGCATTGTGGCCCATATTGACCATGGCAAAAGCACTCTCAGCGACCGGCTCTTGGAACGGACGGGGACCATCCTCCCGGGCGACTCGAACAAGCAGGTTCTCGTATGTCTAGTCCCCCGCCTTACCTGCGAAGTTTGGATGCGCAGGCAGAAGAACAGACAACTGACTGCCACACGTCATTATAGGATAAACTCGATGTCGAAAGAGAACGTGGTATCACCGTGAAGGCGCAAACATGCACCATGCTCTACAACTACAAGGGCGAAGACTACCTCCTCCACCTAGTCGACACACCCGGTCACGTCGATTTCCGCGCCGAAGTTACACGCTCTTATGCTAGTTGTGGAGGTGCGCTGCTGCTTGTCGACGCCAGCCAAGGCATCCAGGCGCAGACGGTTTCCAACTTCCACCTCGCCTTTGCCCAAGACCTCGCCCTAGTCCCAGTCATCAACAAGGTCGATATGCCGTCTGCCGACGTCCCTCGTGTGCTCGAGCAAATCGAGACCAGTTTCGAACTTGACCCCGCGTCTGCCATTCCCGTCAGCGCAAAGACAGGAAAGGGAGTAGATGCTATCCTACCTGCTGTAGTAGAGCGAATACCTCATCCGACTGGCGATGAGACGAAGCCCTTGAAGATGCTGCTGGTTGATTCGTGGTATGATAATTTCAAGGGTGTTGTTCTACTCGTAAGAGTATTTGACGGGCAAATAAGAGCCGGAGACAACGTCGTATCCTTGGGAACTGGTATGAAATACACGGTTGGTCAGGTTGGTATTCAATATCCCGATGCCACGCCCCAAAGTGTACTCCGTGCAGGGCAAGTCGGTTACGTCTTCTTTAACCCAGGCATGAAGAAAATTCAGGATGCCAAGCTAGGTGATACCTTTACAACCATTCAGGATGCTGAGATTGTTGAACCGTATCCGGGATTTGAGGAGCCAAAGCCCATGGTCTTTGTTGCAGCATTTCCAACCGACCAAAGTGATTATACCAAGCTCGCAGACAGCATTACGCAGCTCGTCCTCAACGATCGCAGCGTGACCCTACAGAAGGACTTTTCCGAAGCGCTTGGTTCAGGCTGGCGCCTGGGTTTCCTTGGTAGCCTTCACTGCTCTGTGTTCCAGGATCGTCTAAAGCAGGAGCATGGTGCGGATGTCGTCATCACTGAGCCTACAGTACCTACCAAGATTGTCTGGGCCGATGGGACAGAGGAGATTGTCCAGAATCCAGCACTGTTTCCCGACGCAAGCGACCATCGGATCCGGAGTGCACAGCTCTTTGAGCCGTAAGTAGCCCGTCATTTCCTTCCTCCAGGCTGCCCAATGAAGTCAGATCGTCTAGCTTCTCTCTCTTCACTTGTCAAGGTATTCAACTGACTGACGCACTACTCTTTCTGTAGATTTGTTAAGGCAACCATCACCATGCCTGAGGAATATCTCGGCCGGGTAATTGAGCTATGTGAAGCCAACCGAGGAATGCAGAAGAGTTTGGATTTCTTCCACGCAACACAAGTCATCTTGGTGTACGACCTCCCTTCGGCGCAACTTGTTGACGACTTTTTCGGGAAACTCAAAGGCGCGACGTAAGCAATAGTTACCATTTGAATATCCTCTAAAGAAATCGGGCTTGAACATGTACTGATTCATGTTATCCAAAACAGAAAAGGCTATGCTACCCTCGATTACGAGGAAGCTGGCTGGCATGAGGCTAAACTCTCCAAGTTGCAGCTCCTAGTAAACAAGCAACCTGTCGATGCAATCTGTCGTGTGGTCCATCACACCCAGGTTGACCGGCTAGGGAGGCATTGGGTCACCAAGTTCAAGGAACACGTGGACCGGCAGATGTTTGGTACGTTTTGTCTGGAAATACTCGCAGATTCATTTGTATAAAGTGATTCTAGAACAACCGATGCCCCTATACTTACGCTGCGTCGAAACTCTACGAAACGTGCTAACAACATGGCAGAGGTTGTCATACAGGCCACAGTTGGTAACCGAGTTGTTGCCCGAGAAACGATCAAGCCCTTCCGCAAAGATGTTCTGGCCAAACTGCACGCTGCCGATGTGTCTAGGCGGCGTAAACTTCTAGAGAAGCAAAAGGAGGGAAGGAAGCGCCTAAGGGCTGTCGGGAACGTTGTTATTGAACAATCAGCCTTCCAAAAATTCCTGGCAAAGTAGCAGCTGTAGGCATCATTGGATTCGCGCTGGCTTGAGAAACTGCTTGCCTTGTATTATATGATGAGCCTATTCTGGATAGACAGATCCACGTGAATAGCGTGTATATTATTGTATATCGGTGTTAAAATAATATAGAGACATTCTGGATGGTGCTACACGACCTGTGCTAAAGTCTCAGGCAGATCCTCACCCAGCATAGCCCGCGATGTTCGTGAAAGTCCCAGCCCTCCGGCCAGTGTGGTCTCATCCTGGGTCAAGTTAAACTGCCCGTCGCCCTCCTTCTCGGCAACAAAGTCAAATAAACGGTAATCAGCATTGGCGAAGCACCATCCCACAACACCCACTCGAAGAAATCCAGAGTGGCTAACAACAAAGATGATCTTTTCCGGGCGAGAATAGAGATCGACTAGGCCACGCTTTCCGCGGGACAGGATTGAGCTGCGCGTGTGGGCATAGCGAGTCGCCTCAGCGCTCGTCTTGTCGGGATAAATGGGGTCAAGGGAACCATAGTCCACGGATGGGAATTCAGCGGAGACATCAGAAATGGGCGATCCGGTATCACAAGGCTTGTCCGAGTTTTCTGATCAACCCTGGGTCAGAATATTGTTTGTTAGAGGCACATCAGTGATGTCCGGTAGTAGAACAACTGCTTATATCCTTCGTTGTGCCCACGCGAATACTTCACAGCACACTGTACACCCTGATAGTCACGTCTTCACATACCTTGCCAATCTGCATTCGCAACTATCTTGATCCCTCGATCTACGAGCCAGTCCAGGGAAAGTTGGGCTGTTTGCAGGGTCCTCCTCATGGGGCTTGCAATGATTGCCACCTCGCCTAGCTCCAGCGGAAGAGAAGCAAACCGGTCGCGGAGACTCTGGCGGAGGAGGGCGCACTGCTCCACGCCGAGTTCGGACAGAGGAGGATCGTGAATGTCATATTCCTTGTTGACGTTGTGCAGCGCTTGGGCGTGCCGGATAAGAACAATACGGGGAGCCATTCTTGTTTGAGGGCAGGTGGCGGCAATCGATGGCGAGCTGGTCGGTGTATATGAATGGAATTAGAGATTGGGTGACTCCTCTGAGTAGCGCGTCAGCCGTGAATGAAACCACGAAGGCGGCGGTGAGTGGGCCTCTTTCTCGAGGCAACCCATTCTTGCAAGGCCCAGTCTCATGACGTATTTTCGCGGTGTGCACGTGTGAATAACCGAAGGAACATGCTCAATGGTGTAGTTTATAAGGACTTACCTGCCGTGAATATGGTAGAGATTGAGATATTGGAGCCGTGATTGACTACATCCGAAGTCGGCACCCCAACTGTACTCGTCACGGACCGAAACCTCCAATACCAGGCATCTAGAATCTATACTTGAAATAGAAATTTAAAAGATCAAAATGCATTGGCGAAGACCGTAACGAGGAGCTACCTACATAGAAGTAGCGATTTTCTGTCCAAATAGTCAGGGTCTAGTAGAATGTTATGGCCCCCCGTATTCCTCCTCGCCAAATCAACTGGCAACATACCCTAACCCTCTGGAACACATACCCAGATCTTTGCAGAAACTAGTCAAAATATCTGGTGAAGTTCCATGAGGACCAGATACCCGTAATATGCCTCGCATGCTGGAAGGTGCTGACCTCAATCGACTACAGGCAGGTCACAAAGAACACATGGGAATATTCATGTACTAAATCAACGCCATATACATTATTTCCGTTAATGACAGTCCGCGTCCGGGTCTTGAAACATACCTAAATCTGAGAGATAAAAGATTCTACGCTTCGGAGGTCTTGTCTGATTTACATTAGCTGAGCCAGCTCTCTAGGAGCTATTCATCCTGCCGCCATTGACGAACATGTTCCCTAGCAATAGACAGTTGGCACATATCAACCTGCATTGTAGGACAGAAACTATCTTATCCATGCCCGTGGTGGAAAACTGAGCCTTGCAACGTACAGTAGACAGACACTCATTCTAGAGCTTCGTAGGAACGCGAATGAAGGTCTTTTACACTGTAATTGGCCAGTTATTCTCTATCACGGTAACTCTAGCTTTAATATGCCATACTACTGGCTTATAATCGGCTGCAGTCATAATATTGGTGCGGCCATGCAAATACTGCTGCAAGCTGTGTTGAGACACGGTTCATCTGCTCTGCTCGGATTGGTAACATGGTAAGACTGCAGCGATTCGGTAAATACGTCGCATTGATTTGCCAGACAGACGGCACTATTGACTTAATACTTCTTGATCGCGGAAGTAAAAGCGAGAGTTGTGGCCTTGCGTATGGGAAATTCCAAGCAGCTAAAGCAGATGCCCAGTGACGATCGGATTCCAAATTATAATTTTAATTGAGCACAAAGCCATATTATCGTTTTATACATAGAGCTTGGTTTTAGTATATATCTGACTTCAGAGAATAAAAAAAATTGGTCTATGAATGATACAAATCTTAATTTTCAATATATTACAGTCAGCCCGCGGAGTCCTACTTACTAAAGGAGCATTGCAGCCAAAGCCTCAAGCAGCTAATATATTGGAAATTCATCCGATCCTTCTCCTTGCTAGCCCGCATGGAAGATCCCTCTATTAGTCACCCTACGGCTGAATCGAAAACCAACCAGTGGCTCTTAGGAGGTGGTAGGGGCTCAGCTGATGTTGCATCCCGATTAAAGACGAATCACAAGAGTCTATACAAGTCTGACGTAGTGGGGAACATATCTGGCTGTCGAACTTCGCTCTTCTTGTCCCTTCATCTGTCACGTATGCTCAGACAACGCCACGACAGCGGCAGCTCGTCATCACGTCTCGCCCACCAATGGCTTCACCGGCGTGGACCGATAAGGTCTTTCGGCTCCGGCGGCTGCCGCATTATGTGACCGACGTTGTTGAGGCAGCGAGCATGATCAGCACAGCATTGGGAATCCCACTCGATGATACCGTCATCCGATCGCTTGCCACTACGTCGAATCAATGGGAATCACCACCATCCAAGATAGTTACTCTGCAGCTAAACAGCATCCCCGGTTGGCTGCAAGATGACAGCCGCGAACGCCAGGAATGGGAGATTTCTTTTCCCGAAGCGCCAGGTGGCAGGTTGATCCTTGATGCTCATTTTGAAGGCCTGACGGCTCTCAATGATGTAGACCGGGAACTCCATCACACTGAGTGTGTATGAATGACTCCAGAATGCTCTATCTCATCAATACATGCTGAGTAAGGTAACAAAAGCTGCATTGCCATCTCTGGGTTAGCCAGCCATCCTTTTGGCTCATGGCAGCCCCACGGCTACGATAAGTCCTTCATGTGGATTAGGGATGAAGTTCCTAGATCCATCCCCGGAACCCGAATGATACTATATGGCTACAATTCTCACCTTGTAGGGAGCCAGTCTTTTCAGTCTATCAATGACATTGCTCTTGGGCTTATTCACCAGCTGGAGACTGGAGGCTGGAACCTAAGCACGTCCAAGCCTATTGTTTTCCTGGCTCATAGCCTCGGTGGTATTGTTCTAAAAGATGCTATCGTCCAAATAGCCGACCGCGAGATCGTAGCCTCCATGCTTGATAGGGTCAGGGGAGCGATCATGTTCGGCGTGCCCAATTTGGGAATGTACCAGTCTCACTTGATCGCGATGACCCAAGGGCAGTCTAATGAGATGCTAGTTCAGGATCTTTCACGAGCGAATGGCAATGCATACCTACGCCATCTTAATACTCGCTTTGATGGATTGTCATTTATTAAAAAGTCCCAGATTTATTGGGCTTACGAGACCAAGGAGTCCACCATAGCAGCTGTAAGTAATCGTGAGACTTGATTAATCTTTCCGGGTCGAGGCCAACATCTAATATAAACATCTCTGTTAGCAGCAAGCAGATGGAAGCTGGGTTAGGAATGGCCCTCCTCAGCTCTTAGTCAACCCAGATTCTGCGACCTGTCACTATAACAGTAAGAACAAAGCCATGACGGTCCCTATTGACAAAGACCACTCTTCTTTGGTGAAGTTCTCGAGCGGGGACAAAGACTTGAACACGATAATAAGCATTATTTCCAACATTTGCGCTCAAGAGCATCTTGGAAGCCAGTTGGCGTGGGTTGATAAACGCCCAGCATGTGATGACGCGCGACAAGAGAATGGGCCATGATTGAAGTTCGATGTCATATCATTGGAAAGCACAGAAGCTTTGAAGAGTCTGCGTCAAATTCTAACTTCAATCAAAGGTAACTCTAGGCAAGCATCCAACCACACCTTCCCAGCCTTGCTGATGCCGAGAACTAGATATCCACAATAGTCTCTACTCAGAAGAGCTTGATTATCGGATGGAACAAATCGAGAGCCCTTTCCAGGAGACTTTCAAATGGATCTTCGAAATGTCTTTGTTTTGCAAGTGGCTCCAGGAAGGATCGGGTCTTTTCTGGATCAATGGCAAACCTGGATCTGGAAAATCCATACTTATGAAGTACATCTACAGCAGCAAACTCACCTGGGAGCTCTTGCACGACTGGAGGCGAAGTACGCAGAAGGTGAGAGAGATCACAGCGGGGTTCTTCTTTCACTATCGAGGGACACCGCTCCAAAAATCCTTTGAGGGCATCTTAAGAAGCGTCCTACTCCAGATCCTTGATCCTTATTTTGATGCGTTTCAAAAGCGTTGGGAGAAGTTTCCTTACCTACAAGAAAAAGAACGAAAAGCCACCATGGATATTGAAAACTTAACAGAGGAGTCACAAAATCAAGAAAAATCATTTGCATCGGAGAGCTTCAGAAAGTTGATCCGAAAGAAGGAGGCCGAGATTATTTCTTACCGTAAAGAGATGGAAATCCTAGCCACTGATTTCATATCGGCCTCCACGGCACCCGAAACAATTTTCATCTCCCAGGTGGCGTCAAACTATTATCATTGCACAGAAGGTCGAATTGACAGACTGGAGAAGACACTGAGTCTGTTGTTGGACCAGGATATTATACAGATGGATATTGTTTTATTCTTCGACGCCCTCGATGAGTTTGATGGGCACATCGACATGATTAGTCGATTTCTGAATAGTTTAGTGCGAGTCTCTGCGCCAGGGACACGGTTGAAGCTTTGTTTTTCCAGTCGGCCGTGGAAAGCCTTACAGGGTCACTTTTCTACTTAACACAGCATTTCCTTGCAGGAATACACTAGAAATGACATCGCGCTGTATGCAGCGAGCAAGATTACGGGCCTAAGCTGGAACGGTCCCTCCGCACTCTCGCTTGTACCTCTCATAGTCACCAGATCAAGCGGTATTTTTCTGTGGGTGAAACTCGCCGTTAGAGAGGTGCTTGCCGCCGCTTCAAGCGCTTCAGAAAATCCGTCATTGAACGACCTGGAACAAATATTTCTTCAACTTCCAGATGATCTTCATTCATTTTATGAGCTAATCATCGAACGCATTACACAGACCAATCGCCGAAAGACCTATGCACTACTGGAACTCATCATCCATCAGCAAACCCCACTGCCAGTGGGTGGTTTATGGGTTGCTGTGATGGTATCTGGATGTTCTTCTTTCAACGATGCGTTGCAGCATTTCCATTACCTAGGAAATCCCTGCAGGAAGCAGATATTTTGGCTTAGGGAGGGGGCCTTTGAAATCAACCACGGTTTACCGCAGCTGATGCATCAGACGGTTCTAGAATTTGCCACGGGATTATCGTTCAAGAAAATAGTGCTAGGTGCCCTGGCTCCAATTGTCGTGGAGAACGGGCACTTTCTGCTTCAAATACCTCATCACCGCGGCGGTTTACGAGCACCCAAGCACATGTAGGACTAGAGACATATCCCAGCTATCTTCCCAACTTGCGCATGAGAAGGAACTAGTCTACCACGCTGAGCAGTCCGAGCTTACAACAGGGCATAGCCAGCTCGACTTCATTGAAAGCATACCTCGAAAGGAATTGCAAAACTACACTAATCTGCCGAGCGATGTCAACCGGGCGGCTGCTGCGGATGTTCTCTCATTTGCTTCAAAGAGTGGCCTAGCCCTTTGCCTGAGAGATTGGATTGAGAAGAATGTTGAAGAGCTCGTGCATGTATGCCGTGATACGATATGCCCACTTCTTTGTCTCGCCATTTTCTGCCCAAAGTCTGGGAAGTTTAACGGCCGATACATTGAGATGGCCAGGCTTCTTAGAGAATGGATTCGAACTCAACCAAGACCCTGGATTTTTCACGACTCTAATCGCACAAGTGTGGGTGAAGTGGACTGGGATAGCTGAGCAGAATAAGGGAGTCCCCATGCCAGCTCTTCAAGAACTAGTTGCCCTTGCTTTGGACCACGGACAAGGCCCAAACATTGCGGTCAATGTTCCATCTTACGACAAAGACAGATGCGATACAGCCAGCCCAATCCATTTAGCCCCGCCTGCCCTAGCCGAGAAGTTGGTCCAATTTGGGGCAGATCCTAATGCTCGTGACTCTTCCAACAAAACACCCCTGGACTGGGTCTTAAAATCTACATACAGCCCTACTGCGATTAAGACCCCAATGAGTCTTTACGAATGGAGGCATCAAATGATCGAGATCCTTATCAAAGCTGGCGCGAAGATCTCGCCCCAGCAATATACTACATTGGCGAGATGGCTAAAGGAATTTGAAAGGAGGGGGTTGGATATTGTCACTCTACGAGATGCTCTTAAGGCTGAGTATGTAAATACGCCGGAAATCGAGGCAAACAACCTACCTACGCCGGAAATCGAGGCGAACAACCTACCTGTACGTAGAAAGCTTCGCCATAAGCTGGTAAAGTTCTTAAAGGGTAGCTAAATAGTCTGTTCAATCTAATAATTAGTAGAATAGTGTTGAACCACGCAGGGGTCAAGGGAGGAAGGTGGATTGAATTAACTATTATGCTGCAGGGAAAGCAGCTAATAGTAAACTGATAAGTAATAAGCGGGAAATTAATAATCTAGCTAGCTGCAGATAGACTATTAAGAAATTAATTAAGATTATAGCCCAGATGCGCAAAGGAGGAATTTTTAGCGCGAGACTTGTGCAGATATAATTTGTATATATATAATACGGGGCCTTTATCTTATACTATCTTAACCCCTGAAACCTCTTATAGGGGTTAATATAGCCTATATATATATAAAGTATTTTTTTTATATAAATTAATATAATCTTATATTTTTAATATATTAAAACTGAATTTAAAGATCTTTATAATAATAATACCTGCTAGTTTATAGCTATAGTAATAGATAACCTCTAATAATCCCTTTAGTAATAATAGGAGGCTAGTCTATTAGTAATAATTATAGCTATAGCTACTCTTCTTCTTTAACTTCCTCTTTAAAGCCTAGGTTAATAGAGCCCTTAACTTAAGCTATAATACTAATCTAATATAGTTACTTAAGTAGGTTCTTCTAGCTATTAATAAAACCTTCCTATAGTACTTCTAGACTATTAACTAGCTAAAATATTAGTATTATTAGTTTAAGGCCTTATAGTATATATTCTATAAGATAGCTAATTAATTAGGAGTTAAGTATAATAAGGAGATTAATCTCTTATATATAAATAATAACCTATAGTAATAGGCTATTAGTTACTAGCTAAAGAAAGACTTTTAAATTATCTAGAAGCTACTACTAATTACTTATAATAGAGATATATAGAATATCTTATAGAAAACCTAGTAGACTATCTTCTTAAATAACTTACTAGCTGGTTATTAGATTATAGAAGTTAATAATAATAAGGGTTAATTTAAATTACTTATAATAATCTATATTAAGAAGGAAGAAGAGAAGGAGCCTAGATCTATAGTAATTAGTAATATTAATAAGGAAGAAGGAGAGAAGAAGTTATTACTAACTAATAAGATTATTATATATAATATATAAGTTTTCTTAATACTAGTCTAAGATCCGAAGAGCTCTATAAGATCTAGAAAGAAGTAGAAATTACTTACTATTATAGTAAATATATCTATTAAAGATACTAGGAAGAAAACCTAATCTATTAAGACTAGTACTAATCTAACTATTAGCTATCTTATAGATATCTTAATAGCCTATTTTACTAAGATCTAATACTATTTAAACTTAACTAATCTTAAGAGAGCTATATAAGATATTTTAATCTATACTAAAGATAGAAGTAATAAATTATATTTAAAATTAATATTATAGCTTTATAAAGATTATATAAATCTAATAGTATAGAATTTACTTCTATTAGATAAGGATAAGTAGGTTTTTATTAGGGATATAATTAATCTGGAAGTTAAATAGTTAGTATTAAGCTAGTAAAGTAAGACTATTATAAAGTTATCTTCTGATAAAGATAGGGTTAATAGCTAGATAGTATAGTAGCTTTATAGCCTCTCTTTATAATCTCTACTTAATACTAACTTCCCCTAGCTATAACTCCTTAATAAAACTATAATATTACTTCTAATTCTATTTTTTTATTAGTTCTTAATAAATATATATATTTAACTTTAGAATTATACTTTTATACTGAGTAGAAGCTAGTATAAGTATATAGAGTTAAACCTGATTAAAGATAGTAATATTATTATAAAGTATATTCTATAAAGTTTATTTACTAAGCTATATAAAATTAAATAGTATAGTTATAGTAAAAATAATACTAATTTAATTATAAATATTATATTTAGAGCTACTATTCCTTATTATTTTCTATCTATATTTATATATTCTGATTAACTACTTAATAATTATATAAATTTATAAGTATTATAAGTTAAATATCTCTTTATTAGTCTCTAGCTTTCTATCTAACTTTACTTATTAAGAGATATAATATAACCTATTATATAGAATTAAAATTCCTCTTCTTAAGCTAAAGCCTATATCTATAATATAAAATTAATTATCTAGGATTTTAAAGCTATAGATTAAGACTTAGATAAAAAGAATAGAATTATATATTAATTCTTTAGCCCCTAGTATTATATATAAAAAGAGACTATCTAGGGTTACTATAATAAGTATATTCTAAGAGATATAGCCCTTATAAGACTACTATCTCTTCTAAGAGTTAAAAGGAATAAAAGCTTTAATATAGGTACTATTAATAGCTCTAATAGCTCTACTAAATTAATTAAACTTTAGATTTAATTCTACTATTAGTAATAGATATATTAGATCAGGCTAATAAATAAAATATTTATATAGCTACTTTAATAGATCTTTAAGTTTATAGAAGATATATAATACTAAAGCCTAGCTAACTTTAAACTTTAAAGCTATATTATATTATAGTTTATTATATATAAATAGCTATAGAATAATTATTATCTTCTACTCTAGGGACTAATATCTTAAAGCTAAAGCTATTATATTATCTATAAGCTAATAGTATAGCTTTTAGAAGATTATCTTTATTATTCAGAATAGCTATTTAAATATATACTCTAGCTCTTAAAGAAGCTAATTATAATAAGCCCTTATAGTTTTAGGATTTAGTAGATTATTATTATTATTAACTGGAGGTATAGTCTTACTTTAAATATATAAGCCCTTAAGGGTACTAATTTGATTATATTATATATAGGATTACTTCTACTTCCTTTATCTTTTCTTCTATATAATTAGAAGAGTTAGAATAGAAGTAAATATAGCTAGTTTTTTAAGAGGTATTATTATAGACTGCTAAATATAGTCTATAAAATAGCTATAGAACTATTAGAATTTATAAAGATTAAAAAGATATTCTATTTTTAAATATAATATCTTTTTAATCTCCTGAGATACTAAAAGGCTTAGTATCTAGACCTATTTCAGGCTTTTAAGATACCTCTGTAAAAAGATATATTATTATAAGGATATTATTTAATTCTGAGTTCCCTGCTTTAAATTATAAAGGATTACTAGCTATTTAAGGGAAAGTATATCTAAGTTATATAAAATTTTATAAAATTCCCCCTTTATATATCTAGGCCTATATATATATATAAATCAGACTATTATCTATATTAATTAGTAGTAATTCTATACTTTTTTTCTCTAGTAGATAGTTAGAAAGTTCTTTTTCTATTAGATAAAACTATTTAAAAATAAAAACTAGCTAAAACTATTTATTAATTATTAATTATTTATTATTTAATTATTATATTTTAAAACTATTAGCTAATTATTAAAATTTATTTATTTATCTAAATAGATTATTTTAAACTAATTAATATATTTTTATTAATCTATTTACTATTAGTATATTTATTAGATTATTAGTAATTTATTATAAATACTATAATATTAGTATAATAATAAACTTTATCTATTATATAGTATAACTAAATATATATAAATAGATATTAGATTAATATTAAATCTATATTATTTCTAATAAAAATTTCCTATAGTAGTAAATATATATTATACTTATAGAGATAAATTAACTTATAACTTTAAAAATAACTAATTTTTTTATTTTTAAATATATATAATTCTAGATTAAATTAAAATAAACTCTAATATATTAATACTAAGCCTAATCTAATCTAACTAATATTCTAATCTAAATATAATTAAAAATAATATAAAGCTTAAATAATTAATTTTTAAAACTTATCTCTATTCTTATTAACTTAATATAATATATAATATATTAAAACTATAAGTTATATATTAGATTATAATAGATCTATATAAAAGAGTAATTATTCTTAAGATATAGTATTTATTTAAACTAATCTTAATTCTCTATAAGTACTTATAGTAGCTACTAATAATAGGCTATATAATAAAGTAATAATCTAAGTAGATATAGCTATTAAATTTATATTATTAAAAGTAGTTTTATTATTATAAGTAGATCTTTAACTAATTAAAGAGATATATAATAAATATAATTAGTAAATAGCTATATTAGATTACCTTAGATAATAATTATTATTACTTTAAGAATTTTATTAATAATATTAAATAAATCCTAAGAGATTAGAATATTTATATTAAATATTATAACTATTTAAAGTATCTAGTAATTAATTAATTAAGTAATTAATTAATTAATTAAAATAAGTTCTAATAGAAAGAAAAGATAGTTACTATTATTAGATAATAAGTTTCCCCCCTTAAGAGCTATAGCTATAGTTAGACTATTTATATATCTATTTATATAAATAGCTTCTATTATTAGAGTTTTTAAGATATTAATATCTATACTTAGATTAAAAATATTTAATTTTAACTTTATCTTATAGTATTAAAGATTTAGATATAAACTACTAATTATATTTTTAAAAAAATTATATAATTTAGTTATATATTATCTAATCTTAGAATATATTCTTATTTATAATAAAACTAATAAAAAAAAAATAAACTTTTCTTAGATTTATTAATTATTACTAATAATTTATTAAGAATTATAGAAAAATTATTATACTTTTATATAATATTATTAAAAAAGAAATAAAATTCTAATAAAATAATAAATAATAAAAAGTATTTAATAAAATTAAAAACTAAATATTTTTAGAATTTATATTATAAATATTTAATTCTATAAAGAAAGTAGAATTTAAAATAAATATTTTAAACTTTATAATTAGTATATAAATTAGCTAAAAAAATAATAATAAAGTATTATATTCTATAATATTCTTTTTAAAAAAATTATATAATATAGAATTTAATTACTCTATTTATAATAAAAAATTTATAATTATTATATATATATTTAAAGAATTTAAATATTATTATTTAGAAATAATATATATATAAGATTAAAATATATATAAACTATAAAAATATTTAGTATTTTACTATAATTTAATAACTAAATAGAAG